TTTTTTGGGGGGGGGGGGGGGGAGGCAGAGGCTTTAAGAGATTTTAATCCATAAGAAACAACATAAGTAATTTGTTAAGGCTTGATATTGCCTACTTGAATATGCCTTGAGTTAACATGCAAAAGAGGCCAATATACTACATATAGTTTTACGGTTGCTTCGGTATAGAGATATAAGAGTTTTGGTTAGGCCATTATGTTGGGTTTGGATGGGAAAATAATAGTACTAGTTTACATTTTTTCTGAAAATAACAACAATAACAACAACAACATACCAAGTGAAATCCCTAAGTGGGGTCTGGGAGGGTAGTGTGTACGCAGACCTTACCCTTACCTTAAGCAGGTAGAGAGGTTGTTTTCGATAGACTCTCAACTCAAGGCAAGCACAATCACAACAATTTAGAGAAAGAAATACAATATTGAAAAAGTCAATGGAAAAGAAGCAGTAACAACATCAACGTAATCACAAAACCGAAGCAGAAGCAACATCAGGTAGTAATTGAGATCTAAGAATCAGGAAATACTAGAATAATACTACAACTACTAGTATGGAAAGAAAACACGCTCGACTATCTCCTAATCTTCTACCATAATTCTCGATCTCTACACCCTCCTATCAAAGGTCATGTCCACAGTATGCTGAAGATGTGCAATGTCCTGCCTAATTATCTCTCACCACTATTTCTTTGGCCTACCTCTACCTCTACTTCTTCTTAGACTCACCATTGTCAATTTCGCACACCTCCTCACTGGGCCATAGTGGCCGAGTGGTCAAAAGCGGCAGACTGTAAATCTGTTGAAGTTTTTCTACGTACTACTAGTATGGAAAGAAAACACGCTCGACTACCTCCTAATCTTCTACCATAATTCTCGATCTCTACACCCTCCTATCAAAGGTCATGTTCTGCCTAATTATCTCTCACCACTATTTTTTTGGCCTACCTCTACCTCTACTTCTTCTTAGACTCACCATTGTCAATTTCGCACACCTCCTCACTGGGCCATAGTGGCCGAGTGGTCAAAAGCGGCAGACTGTAAATCTGTTGAAGTTTTTCTACATAGGTTCGAATCCTGCCTCTCCCACTTGTTTGTTGTAGACTTCAGAGAACAGAAAAGAGGCATTCGTCAGCGTAGGTCCGTAGGAAGGCCAACCGAGCGAAGCTCGAGGTATTGTATATACATGTCCCTAAGTTCATCAAGCATGTTCAACTATTAATCAAGGAGATACCTCCCTGACCCTATTCAGTTGCCAAAGCCAAACTATCTCAGCCTCGCTTCTCGAATCTTGTCCACCACGGAGGCTACTCCCACCTTGTCCTGAATATCTTCATTTCTAACCATATCTCTCCTAGTATACTCACACATCCATCCTTATTTCTGAAAATCAAATGTAAATTTCAGTTTTAGAGTCACATAGTGAAGGAGGCTTAACTCTATGTATGATTTGGAAATACAAAACTACTTGCTGAAGCAAAGTTGAGTATGAAGGATAAGATAGGCATTTGAATAGTCTTATATCATTTGGTTGTGACTTAATCGAGGAGCCATGGTTGAAGCCTTTGGGGAACTTTTGTACTTGTGAAGAGAAATTTATTGCACCTTTTACTTCCTCCACCCGATGAGAGGATGATTGCAAGATAGTCCTATAGCAACATCACCACCTCAAACTGTACGATTGGGGATTCTCGAGTCACCAAGGGGGCAAAGTGGCAAAAGCCACCTATGTTGCTCGAATTCGAGTGTGTGTATCCGATCGGGGTGCGGATCTAGAGATTGGATCCTTCATAATCTAAATTTTAAGAATCGGGGATATGGATCTAGGTACGGATACGGGTGCAAGGATTTGGTTAAAATTAATTCAAAATTCTAAAAATAGATCTAATAAATATCCAAAGTTATGAGAGATATTCTGTGAAAAATTTATAGGTAATGGAGTGCAACCAATAATTCAATCTTTCATTTAGAGTCTCAAGTTGTAGGCATTAGCAGGCAGCAACTAAAATTCAAGTCATATTTGTCCATGGATTGTCGTCAAAGTATCCAATTTCGATTAACCACATCCACTGCGAATCTCACGCCCTTACCAGTGTCGTGTCGACACGGGCGTGGCGCCTAAAATGAAGAATCCGCGCAATATAGTAAGCCACTAATGGCCTCCTGGCTAGCGGAGGTTTGAGGGATGGAGGCTTACCATCCCCCCCCCCCCCCCCCCAAAACACACACACACACAAAAAAAAGCCTGTACTTTGTTCATACTCTTTACTGAATTAACTTTGCTCACTTATCCGGGGGGGGGGGGGGATGCTCCTACACCTTATCTATTTTACTGAGATTTCTAGATATTCATTGCCTCAATTGGTATGGGTTTTACCGTAGACTTCGAAGTCTTTGGTTTTACCGTTCAGCAATCAACTTCAATTTGGAAAAGTGACTGTTTTAGTTTCACTCTCAAAGTCATAGCATGTCTCTGACTGTAAGGTTCTGTGGCTTTTCTTCTCCCTTTCAGGGATTAACTGGTAACATGGAGATGCTCCAGTTTCACGTAGTCTTTGCTTTTATTCTTTTACAAGCTTGAGGGGTCTTGGTTTTGGCTTGTTATCAATGAATTCGCCTGAGATTGACCGATTTAATTGATCAAACATTTAGAAATTATCTATAATTAATAGGCGAAGGCTCAAGATTGTCTGAACTAGCCCAAGGATCAATTCTAGTTGAAAGCAAGATCACAGGACACAGTGTTTTATTAAAAATACACATTCAATCTGAAAAAATATGAAACTCTAATTCTCAATGGAAAAGTGAGTAGATTCTTGAATCTAATTTGCCTTTTCTGAACCGTGTAACCAAGATGATCAGCTTGATTCATGTGCCTAGTTACTAGCTATGTAGGTTTCGGATTTAAAACCATTATATGCTGCGTGGAAGTGATTGGCTGTTACTAGTTGGATTTGTAATCATTTCTCTGTAGTTGGTTAAAGTTGCAGCAGAAGGTAAGCTGTTGATGAATGTTTGGAAATATTTGGTCTCTGTATGATTCTGCTGCTTGTTAATATTGGTGTATCATTACTGAATTCTTACTTTATATTATTGTATGATATTGTTGTTTTACTTCTTTTCTCTAACAAATATCTAGTTCCATGATTAAGATTTATGTCTTTAACAGTCGTCCCTCACTCCATGTTTTATCTTCTTTGCAGGAGATGTATTCACAGGCTGGACCTCAGTTCCGTGATGAGCTTCAGCGCCATCATCTTCCTACAATGATGGTATATTACATAACTTGAGACGTTTTCATTCTAGCAAATAACTTTCTATCATATGTAGATTTTATTTCGCTTGGTCACTAAAAGCAAAAATTCTTCTCAATCTGTCTTGACTTGATAACTGGCTGCAGCTAAAAGATATTAATGCCAGACTAGAGAAGATTGAGCCCAAAATTCGACTAGCAGATGGAATTCCAAAAAACTATTCAGCTGCTGAGGTGAGACCCACTAGTCTTAATCCCAAGAAAAGCAGCCCGAAGGCTNGTTATTAATTCTCAGGTTAAAGGGTATATCCCAACCTGAATGTATGCACCTAGAATCTTGCCTTTTTGTCAGATTTTATCAGTTAAGATGTCTCCTTGCGCTACTTGAACCTGGAGTATCAAAATACGTTTCCAGGCGGGTTATACTTCACCTAATCATTATTTTTCTGAAATTGATGAGAATAGTTGTTTAGTGTCTCATATGCATGTACTCCATAAACATGGAGAATTTTAAGTAGACTAAAGTGTTCTGGCGGAGAGGATTTATAGTGTCTTCTCCTTGTTTGTTGGTAGGCTTGCCATTTGTTAAGCTTCTTATCCCAAGAGCTTTTGGGAGATTTTGAGGCATGTGCCGAGATGTTCATTCCAGTGAGTAACTTTTTTGCTACTGTCCGCAAATTTATTCTTCTCTCATCTCATTTCGGGAAAAACTTATCTCATGCTATATGACATAGGTTGTTTCTGTCTTCCTGATTTGAACTTCAGGTTCTTTTCAAGCTTGTTGTGATAACTGTTCTTGTAATTGCAGAATCTGCTGATACCTGCATAAAAACGGTAACGGGTTATGTGCCATTACAATCTTCTCTCTTTTGCTCCATGTTATATTGGTCAGTCATGTGCTGCTACTTTTATTTTCAGATGTTGCGCAACTGCAAAGTTGCTCGTGCACTTCCTCGAATAGCTGATTGTGCAAAGAATGATCGTAATGCAGTCCTTCGTGCAAGGTTTGGTTCTCCTTTGTAGTCAATTATCATGTTTATTCTGATTTAACTCTGGACAGTGCTGTTCCTGATTTGCAACACTTAGCAGATGCTGTGAGTATGCACTTCTAATCCTGGAACATTGGCCCGATGCTTCTGAGATACAACGTTCAGCAGAACTCTATGAAGACCTTATAAAATGTTGTGTAGCAGATGCAATGGGTGAGGTATGGATCTTGAATTCTACGTATCAGATGTATATGTGAATGTATACGATGCTTCTTGGCATAGACATAGAGACACTCTTTTCCAATTTGTACTTGTATTCAATATCTCTTTTTCCCTTTCTTTTTGCAATGTCTTTACTCTCACTTGAAAGCTTAACAGGTACGATCAATTGCAAGAACTTTGTACAGAATGTTTGCAAGAACTTGGCCCGAACGTTCCAGGCGTTTGTTTATGTCCTTTGATCCTGTTATCCAAAGGGTACTTGCTTTTCTCTTATAGTTGCTCCCAGCATCTTTCCAACACAGATGATTGGCATTGCTTTAAATTGCTTTAAGATTTGACATGATGGGCTAAAGGGAAACACTTCTGCAGATCATAAATGAGGAAGATGGTGGAACTCACAGACGACATGCTTCACCTTCTGTTCGAGAGAGGAGTTCACACTTCTCACTTGCTCCTCAAACATCTGCTTCGCAAATTCCTGGTTATGGAACATCTGCAATAGTTGCTATGGATAGAACTTCCAGTTTGCCTTCAGGCACGTCCCTCTCCTCTGGGCTACTCCTGTCACAAACAAAACCTGTGGGTACTGGCACAGAACGTAGCTTGGAAAGTGTACTTCATGCCAGCAAACAGAAAGTTTCTGCTATAGAAAGCTTGCTCAAAGGTCTGGATATATCTGAGAGAAGTCGATCCTCTAGTTTGGATCTAGGTAATTGTTTCCTCTTCCATTATCGTTTCTCCATCTCANATTATCGTTTCCCCATCTCAAAAGCTTGTGTGTAGTATTTTAGTGCGAAGGTGAAAGCCTTAGAGTTTATCACATGCAGCTTCTATGATTTAGCAAAAGGGATGCTGAAAAAACACTATAGCTATAATGTTTGAAAGTTTATGAACGGCTTAATTTTTCTTCTACTGCCCCTAGTGCAGGAGTTGACCCACCATCGTCCCGTGATCCACCATTTCCTCTTGCTGTTCCTGCGTCGAATAGTCTTGCTAATGCTTTGGTAGATGCACCATCTGGTTTCTCTAAAGGTAATAATCGCAATGGTGGATTGGGTTTGTCCGATATCATTACTCAGATCCAGGCCTCGAAGGATTCTGCTAAAGCATCCTATCGAAGTAGTGTGGTTCATGAATCCTTTTCAGCTAATTCGGCAAGAAGGGCTTCTGAAAAACTACAAGATAGAGGATTTGTTGAAGATCATGCTGAACTTAGGGAAGGTAGGCGGTTAATGAACTCGCATGTTCACAGACAATATGTAGAGTCACCATACAAAGATGCTAACTTTAGGGATTATCAGAATAATTACGTTCCAAACTTTCAACGTCCTCTATCAAGAAAGAACACAGCAGGAAGAATGTCTGCTAGCAAGAGGAGGAGCTTTGATGACAGTCAGCTCCCACTAGGAGAAATGTCAAGTTATGTGGATGGACCCGCTTCACTAAGTGATGCATTAAGTGAGGGTCTCAGTCCTAGTTCAGATTGGAATGCTAGGGTTGCTGCATTTAGCTATGTCAGGTCTTTGCTACAGCAGGGGCCTAGAGGTATTCCAGAAATCATTCAGAGCTTCGAGAAGGTTATGAAATTATTTTTCCAGCACCTTGATGATCCCCATCATAAAGTTGCACAGGCAGCTCTGTCAACCCTTGCAGATCTTATTCCAGCTTGCAGAAAACCATTTGAAAGTTACATGGAGAGGATTTTGCCCCATGTTTTCTCACGGCTAATTGATCCCAAGGAATCGGTGAGGCAGCCTTGCTCAACTACATTAGAAATTGTAAGCAAAACATATGGTATAGATTCCCTTTTGCCAGCTTTGCTCCGTTCATTGGATGAACAGCGTTCTCCGAAGGCCAAACTTGCTGTAATTGAGTTTTCAATTGGCTCGTTTAACAAGCATCCTTCGAATTCTGAAGGTGCTGGAAATAGTGGCATCCTCAAGTTATGGCTTGCTAAGTTGACACCACTAGTCTATGATAAAAACACCAAACTGAAAGAAGCAGCTATTTCATGTATTATATCAGTGTACACACACTTTGATGCAACAGGGGTTTTGAATTTTATTCTTAGCTTATCAGTTGAAGAACAAAATTCCTTGAGGCGGGCACTTAAACAGTATACCCCTCGTATAGAGGTGGATTTGATGAATTTTCTACAGAATAAGAAAGAAAGGCAACGTTCCAAGTATGATCCATCTGATGTTGTTGGAACATCTTCTGAAGAGGCATATATAGGAGCTTCAAAGAAAAGTCATCTATTTGGAAGGTATTCTGGTGGTTCAGTTGATAATGATGGTGCCAGAAAATGGAACTCTTTTCCAGACTCGACCTATATGACTAGCTCCATAGGTCACTCGTTGTCTGATGATACTCAAGACTTCTATCGTGGTGTTGAAACTGGTTCCAACTCCGATCTTCCTGTTTCAAAAGCTTTGGCCCTTACCGCTAATCAGAGTGACAGATTGTGGGATAATCCGCAGGAATGTAATGACGACAGCTTAAAGATGGAGCACACTTCCACTCCCCATCTGGAGGTTAATGGGTTAGTTGACTCGGAGCATCTAGGGGTAGCTGCGGGTGTTGGGGCTGATAAGGAATCTGATTTGGGACTTAATCACCTGAAACTTTCTGCTCTGAAGATAAACTCAACTCCAACAACTGGACCAAGCATTCCTCAAATTCTGCATACGGTGAGTTCTCTGTGGTCAATCTGTACCTGTCAAGTTACAGTTTATTGTCAAATTCTCAGAGATTCTCCTCGTCCTTGGCTAAAGAAACTATCAAGTCTTTTTTGCAAAAACTTGGGATGAAAACTATCAAAATCTTTATCGCGCTCTCTCTTCCACTTTTGCCAGATCTGTAATGGCAGTGATGAAAGTTGTGCTGCCAACAAGCATGGTGCACTTGAACAACTAGTTGAAGCTATTGCCAATGATCAATCTATATGGAATAAGGTATATTAGTCGCAGATTTATCTGTTTGGTTGTTGCTACTCCTTTATGTATACTTTAAATTCCTCATGCAACATTGTAAATCATATTTAGTTTAATTTCATTTTTTCATATTCAAAAACTAGGTAGAGCTCAGTTATTACGTATTTATTTTAAAAGTTCTACTGAATATCAGGATTCAATTCTACTAGTTTGAAAGATGGATTTTATTATGATGTCATCTTTCGTTCGGTGCAGTACTTCAATCAGATATTGACTGCTGTACTCGAGGTGCTAGATGATTCTGAGTCTTCAATAAGAGAACTTGCTCTATCTCTGATAGTCGAAATGCTGAAGAATCAGGTTTTTTGCTGCTTATCAAATTTATTTTTATTCCACCCCTTTATCTATAGATAAGAGAGGTTGTGTGCGTCTTTTTAACCCTTTTCATTTACAATGTCGTTTTATTTTATCCATTTTCTGTTGTTTCTCAGAGAGATGCTATGGAGGATTCAGTTGAGGTTGTAATTGAAAAACTGCTCAACGCAACCAAGGATGTTGCCCCGAAAGTAAACTCTCACTTAGATGAAGTTATTATGCTGAAAATTTCCCTTCCCTCCTTTCTAATGTGTTATATTGTCCAGGTTGCAAATGAAGCCGAGCATTGTTTAACTATGGTGTTGTCCTTGTATGACCCATTTAGATGCTTAAGTGTAAGTTCTTGTGTTTCATTTGAATTTGCTTAGCAAGATATCTGGATTTCTTCTTTTCATTTTTCGCTTGGATCTCATGGCCTTTTTGCTATTCCTATTTCTGATAAGTTACTGTTTTTGCAGGTTGTTGTTCCTTTGCTTGTCACCGAAGATGAGAAGACTCTTGTAACTTGTATTAACTGTTTGACAAAGGTAATTTGCTGATTGGATCTGACCCCTGAACTCGTAGAGAGTCTTGTGTCCGGTTTTCCGATGTGAAAAGAAGTAATTACTTTGCTAGTGTGTGTCAAACTTGGAGAAGCTAAGTTTTGATTGGTTAGTGATTTGAACTTATTTCCTTTTTCAGCTTGTGGGGAGGCTTTCCCAGGAAGAATTGATGTCTCAGCTACCCTCGTTCTTACCTGCCCTGTTTGATGCTTTTGGAAACCAGAGTGCAGATGTTCGCAAGGTGCCAATTTCTTTTCTATTTGTTCTCTTTCTTTTCTTTTTGAGCCTAAAAAGCTTTGTAGAATCACTAATAGAATTAAACTAGTAGTTATAGCTTCAATAGAATCAAGCAGGGTAATAGTTACAGCTTCAGCAGTATTTGCATCTCCTACTCGTTTTCTTTTATATTGTGGAGATATCAGTTAGATAGCATGAGATGTTATTGACGAGCGTAATATGCACTATAAAAACAAGCTCGTGCTTCGTTAAAGATAGTATAGAAAGTTATCATCTCCACCGGGATTGGACTAAACAACGTTCAAGTAATTTCTAGTTAAATGTCATTCAGGATGATTAACACTTCGATTGAGAATGATTATGAGCTATAATTAACTACTAAGAGTGAAACAATTAACAATTGATCACAGAGAACTACAGATTAGCAAAATTGATTTGTTCTTAGTGCGAGAAATTAGGGTTATGACATGATAGATGCAAGATTGTTATCCTGGACTTGACACGGTTAAATTTCACTCTTAAGGTTCTATTGATTCTCACGAGTTCAACAAGTTATTATCCTATTATTTTGATTCAGGTTCTTCTTTTGATTAAACCTAAACCGTTCAAATAAGCTAATATGAAGTGCGGTGAAACTTGCAAGAATCTATTGGTAAGAATGGTCTAAGAGAAACTTTTCGCAAATATTTCTCAATCTTAATTCAAAAGGTAGATCGCAAAGCTCTTTCGATTACTTTAAAGAAGTACCAAAATAAATTAAGGCACGCATTGCAACAATTTTCAATATTATGCTCCTCTTCCGATTAAACACGATAATGAATAAAATCACAACTAGAGTTAAAACTCCTCCAACAAATTCGAGCAATCAGACAATAATCAAATCCATAGATAACAATCAAAGTCACCAAATCATGTCAAACCCTAAGGTAAACGACTCCATAATCATAGAGGATGCCATCACAAATGGAGTCAAAGAGTAGGAAAACATCAATCCAACATTGCAATCCAAACTCTCGTATTGAATTGGTGGAAAAATGATGAAATCTTGTGTCTTGAAGCCTCCAATGCTCTCCAAAAGCTCCGTAGGTCAAAAGTCCTCTAAAAATCGTGTTTTTAGTGTATTTATACCATGTAGGAACTGGCCTGGAGAAAACTACCCTCTCTGAGCCGAAGTAGGAAAAGTTGGGTGGAAAATTGCACAGGCGCGCCGCGCCATGCGCCGCGCTAGTGCACTTTTTCAGAGAGTTGATTTTTTGTCAGAAATCCGCCTCTACACTGCTGCGCCGCGCCATTCGATGCCCCATGCGGCGCGGTAGTGCAATTTCTTAGAGTTCCGGTTTATCACTTTTTAACATCCTGGATTGGTCCTCGATCCCTGTATGCTTCCGGTTTAATTCCTTGGGCTTCTATTCAGAGTTCAAAGCTCCAAATCATCTATTTTAGCTCTAAAATCACTTCCTAACGCGGAATCACCTCTTACAAAGCACAATACACATAATAAGAACAAATCATTGTCATTTATGCTCAACCACGAATAAAGTGCAGTAATTAGAGTCAAAATATAGCTAAAACACGGGTTCCTAGCCTACCATCAGTGTATGCTGTACCTGTTTGTTTGCAATTGGCATACGATGGCAGTTCTACAGGAAAGGTCCCCCCAGCAATTTTATTTGGCATTGGTCCTTATGCATATCTCTATCAGAATCAGGGACACCGGAATCGAGTAAACTAATAGAGGATTGAAGGCAGTTGTATGCCATGCTTGAGAAATATGAAACACTCCTTAGAAAAGCACCTAATATCTTGTTTCAAAAATTCATTTTATGTAGAAGATCTAATATATTTTATGTAACAGATCGTTTCACGTGTCATTATTAGTACAATAACAACAACATACCCAGTGTGATCTCATAGAGGGTAGGGTGTACGCCGACCTTACCCCTACCTTGTGTGAGGTAGAGAGGGTGTTTCAATAGACCCTCGGCTCAAGAAAAGAAATTTCTAAACACATGTCATTATTAAAATGCAACAAAAAGTTCTGAATTGGGTGAATATAAACCAGGAATGAAGTCAGTTGTTACCATAGTTGAGGATAATAAAATCTCTTTAAAAACTGTCTTGGAGATTCATTTTGATAATTATCTAACAAAGACTTTTATGTCTTAGTAGCAGTCTACAATGAAAAATTCTTAGTCTTGTTCCTTAGCCATATATTGCAGTTATATTTCGGTATTAATAGTTGTTCCTTTGTTAAACGCTATTGAGCCCCTGCCCTCACTTCATTGTCTTTTCCTGACACCTGTTTATGGACTCGATATATGGTCATTCGATAAAACTTACCTTATCCCAGAAAGAAAGTTTAAAAAGAAAGAAGATCATGCAATAAGCTTATGGCTGATACAAAAACCTTAGTAATACAAGCTTTATGGCTGTGGTTTAACCAAATTCGATTGCCTATAATCAAACGGCGTTATGGCTCATATACTGTTGAAGAATGAAGAGATGAATATAGTTCACATTCTGTACATATCTGTAGTTTTATCACTTAAGCTGTTTTTTGATTGCGTAATTTTTTTGGCTGGCAGACTGTTGTGTTCTGTTTGGTTGACATATACATCATGCTCGGCAAAGCATTTTTGCCATACTTGGAAGGGCTGAACAGCACGCAGTTAAGATTGGTGACTATTTATGCAAATCGAATATCACAGGCCAGAACAGGTACTCCTATAGATGCTAACCGCAGTTAGCTGTTGCCAGCTTTTTGGAATTTCCTTGTTGGTTCCTGAGGAGTTTAATCTTATCATTCAATCTTTGATGTGTCCTGTATATCGTGTGAATGTGCATTTTGAAGGCGGGTAAAGTTTTATTCTTTTATTTAACTGTGTGTTCATCTTTTTTCCTCCCATATATTGGTTGGGAGTTGGAGAGTGCGTGTTGGGAACAAGAGTGATGTTGTAAACAGTAAATGTTGTGCTTATAATGAAATTTACAGTTTATTGAATACTGCTTTAGAAACTGGGACGAGATAGCTTATGGCTCTTTTGATCATCATTCGGTCCCCACGCTAGGCCCCAGCTGCTGCGGCTTCATTTTCTTTCCTTCTTGAGTTGCTCCACAAAAACATGGGAAAATCTACTCTCAAACTTATTTGCATTGTGTTTATTATTGTGTTCACATGAATTATGAAGAACCCCTGGTTAAAGAAAAATAATAATAAAGAGAATATGAAGAAAACTAGTTTACTCCTTTTTAGGGTTTCTGATTTATTCTTCTTTTCTTGTTTCCTTCCTGCTTTGTTAGAGTACAAGATAAATACTGTGAATGAGATTGACAAAATTTAGATACTTAGTAATTCATAAAAGTAATTCTTGCTCCACAAGCAAAGCGCAGAAAGCTTATATCTTTTGCAATCTTTCGTTTAAATGTGGATCAAATAAGGATCTAAGCTGTGTGTATGTTAGGTAAATTCCACTCATCTCTTCCGTTTGCGTTTATCTGCAAAGTTGGACAGAATAACGTTGCCTTAAATCGTTTGTGATTGGAATATTCCGATAGGTCGACAGTATTATGTACCCAGTTAGACCAACCCATATCTGGTTGGACTTTTTTTTTTAATACTGGGAAAGTACCAAATGCCCAAGGGGTAAACTGATTAGAATCAAAAGGAAAGGGATGGAGAGGGGAAAAGAGATAACAATGTGTATTATTAATTCTGAACTCATTTGCATCCCCCTTCCTTTTTCATTCTTTCCACCTCCTTCAAACGAGTCAACTTGTTGCCTTGCTATTTCTTCTATATCCGAAGTGAGCACAAATCACTGTTCTAGCAGCAGTCGCGAGAACTAAGTAGCATAGTTATAATAGCTCTGCTTTTGACTTGTCTCTTGCATCTTCAGTTTCACAGTCCTCAAAAATGCTTGGTTTTGGTTGGCTTAGATATGCATCTTCCTGTTGGCTTCAGATGGTCATGAACTGGTAGAGGGGCATCTGCAATAAGAATTTCTGTTTAGTGGATAATAAGATTCCGAACACATTTTACATTATTTTTAATCTTCCAGCTAATATGATGTACATAAAGTCAACATTTTTTGCAATCTCATTTCATACCTGGAGACATTATCCATCTTGGCTAATGATTTTGAGCGTTTCCTCTTTGTTTTAGGTCCAAAAGGCTCACTGTCATGACAATGAACTCTTGCTCACTTTAGAAAGATAAATAGAGGGTGATATTGGTAAACAGAATACAGAATTCCAAGCATTAGTACACTAATATTTAGCTCTTCTTTGCGAGTTAAATTCAACATATATCAGGAAGGAAAAAGGAAAGCCGATTTTGGATCTCTTCTCTAAAGAATTGCAACTCCTTCTGGCCAATCACCCGAGTATTGCCTGTAAATTCCAAAAACCATATCTTAATTCAGACGTTTCAATATAGTTCTTTCATTATATTGTCACTAATAATAATAATAATAATGTCGATTTGACAACTTTCCGGAGTCAAATTAGACAAAATTAATTCATTATGTCAAATCAAATTTAGATATTCAAAAACTACATAAAATATATAAATTGCAAGTTACTTTATATTAAAAAGACAGAAAGAATATATTTTAAAGATTCATAAAGATCAAACTTTCTGGAAATAGAACGTACCAAACCAACCGCGATCTGGTTGTATCCACGTTGAGCGAAGCTTCTGTGAATGTAAGTCGTGCTTTACGATTTTACCCTTACTATTAATGTTTATTGGAAAAAGCAACCCAAAGATTTAGGACCAAAAACGGTTAGCGGTGACCATTAATTAAGTTTCTTCGGCTTGAGTTGGCTTGAAAGCACGGAATATATTTGCACCATCACCGTCTATGCTTCGGCCTACTATTATACATCTTGAGCCGCCAATGGCAGCACTACAGCCATTTTTCTTCTTCTCCATCTGTGATATCTGAAAATAAAAATGAGGCTTTTGGCAGTCTTCAAATATTGCTCCACAAAGAATGTGGAATTGAGGAACAAAGGGTGTTTGGCTAGGCTATATGAAATACACCAAGGATTTCCAAACTGAATATGAAACGCTGACGGATTCGATGTTGTTCTGAAAACTAGAAAACTTTTACCACCTTGAACGTTACAAACCAATGAATGTAAGAGATGTATTGCACATAATTTTTAAGGCTTAACTATGGCTAAATGGCTTAGGTTAATTTTAGAATTTCTCTAAAATTAACCTAACCTCTTCTAACTTTAGCTTATTTGTCTTTTCACATTTTAGACCTTCCAAAATTTGTGTTTTTTTCTCGAGATACCTTAGTCTTTGGATTTTAAAAAAAAAGAATTTCAGAGTTTGGAGAAATAAAGAACTAACCAGTAGTATCAAATGAGAGGGGCATGACAAAAGACCAAAAGACGATAAATGGAGCTTTCAAAGTGAGAGTAGTGAAACAAATCTTCTTACGAAAGTTCCTGGCATCCACAGGAAATGAAGAGTAATTTTGAGTTTTGCCATAAGCGGGATATATTTTATTGCTGAAAGCAGGTATGTATAAACCAAACCAAACCAACTATATCGGTTTGGATTGGTTCGGTTTTGTCGGGTTTTTCAAATTTTTTGGATTTATTTCAATCTTACTTTGTTAAAGTTATAGATAAAGTTTTGATAAGTGAATATATATATTTAATAAAATTTGAAAAAATTGACAAACATATGATCTATTAAAATATTCTTATGGGAGAAGTTTTTAGTAACATATGATAGTTATTTTCTTAATTGTCTAACAATTATTTTTCGTTGATGTACATTTTCAAGGTTAACCGAATTTAATAATTAACATAAAAATCAATATGACACCTAAATAATGATATGTTCTATTTAATTTTAAATTATCGAAATACCATTTCAAATTCGAAAAAGATATACATATGAATATGGAAGAACAAAGAGATGATTAACACATTTCAATAACACTTGATAAGAAGTGATACAACCCATTATTTAAAGTATATGAAAATAAATGCACTTCATAGTTCTATTAAATATTACATCCCATGAGAGGATCCCAAATATTTCTAGACATTATTTAAAGAAAAATTTAATTACATAAAGTCTTAAAAGTATATAAAAAATATATATTCATATGTCTGTTTGATTCGAGTTTTTTTACTCAATACTGAATCAAATCAAACCAAACATAATCAAGTTTTTTAATCGATTTGGTTTAACTTTTCGGTTTAGTACCGTTTTCCGGTTCGGTTTAAACACCTTTAGCTAAAAGGAATATAGCTAGTAGGTGATTCATGAGTAGCAGGAATTGATACCTACCCTTTTGATACTAGATTATTTAACTTTGAATGGATTGTGAAGCTTCAGTGAAGAAAAACATCTTCTAGAGATAGTTATTTACTCGTAAAACGGTACAGTTGAATTTATAGATAAGGTGATGTTGGGCATATTTTTATATATTTTAATGTTACTTTACTCATGTTTTAACCGCTCTTGGTGTTATTTAGTGTTAAAAATGACTAATATGTGTTAATTATTGGTTTTATGACTAATTAAGTTGTGTGTGATGATTTAGAATGTTTGGAGTGCAAAAATATAAAGAAAAGATGCTCCAGCTACAAGAGAAGAGGGTGGATGCTTTGCATCCAACCTTAGAAAAAAGGCTATTTGGAGCACACTTAGTAGTGAAGTCTTAAGAAGGCATCCACCTTAGGATCCGCACCTGGGCCCAGCAAGGTTGAGGGAACAGAGGGTGGACGCGAAGCATCCACCCCAATATCCGATGCTGAGAAGTTCAAGCTGAGGCGGACGCGAAGCATCCAACTCAGCATCAATCCCTGAAGCTGATTCGGAAAAGGAAAAGGGAAAGTTTGGCCCACGACTTTTGTACGCAATATATAAGGCAAAACGGCTCTTTTAGGGCATCTAACATACTTTTTGAAGTGGATTCAACCTAGGGAGAGCAAGAAGCCGTCATGGAGGTCGAATTTCATCTTTTTTCGCCAAACTTAGTTATTTTTATGTTTCTTTGTATGATTCGTTATTTGGCTACCATGTCTATGTGGAGCTAAACTTCACGTTCTAGGGTTGTGGTTCTTTCAGGAATATTGTTATTCGAATATTGATTTTGATTTCTTAGTTTATCGTATCATTTTTTTATTCAATCATGCGCTTAATTATTTGATTGCTTGATCACCAATTAAATATTATCTACGAATCTAGAGTTGAACTCGAAAGTGGGAATTTTAGATTGCATATAGGATTGGGTAGAGCAAGTTCTTGAATCCGGATATCGGGGAATATATTCACGGTTAGGATAGACATATACCTAATTACCTTGCTTGGTTGATGTACAGGAATTATAAATATGTTATTGTTAATTCTAATTCCATAGACATATAGGTGTTAGGTTAGCTTGAATAGGCGAGTAAGAACTCGACAGATTCTTATGAGAAATATTAACCATGTCAACCAATAAACTAGATAAATTAGTTAGTCAATTCAATTGAAGAATACAATAGGAATGTTAGATAGCCCATTACCCTGGATCGTTTTCAATACATTAGTAACATAAAAATCTTCTCTTCTTTTGTTCAGAATTCGTTATTTATTTTCTATTTAGTTTAATTACTTTAGCATCACTACTTTTGGGTTTAATCTTTGTTTAGATAATTAGGATAGTCTGATCTACTTAATAGTTGATAACAAGTCCTCGTGGGTTCGACACTCTATCTTATCACTTTATTACTTGACGACCGCGTATACTTGCATGTGCGTTTGATCGCAATAAATTTTTGGCACCGTTGCCAGGGGCTTAAAAATTAGTTGTTTTCTAGATTAGACTTTTACTTTTATCTTCACAATTTTTTTATTTTATTTTGTAAATATTTTTATTTTTATAACTATTTAATTTTTCTCTTAGTGTGTTTCTAGTACTCAAAGCATGACATATGGGGATGAAATATACGGAGGTAAGGTTATTGAGGAAGACGCTTGGTTGACGG